ACTCTGCAAAAGAGAGGCTTCTTTCTGACTCAGTTAGGTCACTTTGTGCTGTTTGTCTATTCTCATTGTCAAAGCCATTAAAACATAAGGTAGACACAGCTCCCACATGCCTTGCTGCTTTTGACTTTAAAGCTGAAGACATAAAATATGCTGGTTGACATAAAATATGCTGGTTGACTGGATATAGGCAGTCTTTGGCAAAAGTCACAATTCTGCAATGAGATGCCATGGGCACACTGCTAACTATCTTCCACCTCATGGGTGATAAATAATCCACAGGCAAGATGTTAAGATCACAGTCCACAGCACTGTCATGAGCTGCTCTTGCTGGGAAGGACAGCCTGATTTTTTTAATGTCTGAGGATAAGCAGGTACAAAGCTTATGACTGACATCTACTGATGTGGTCTGAAGACAAGTGAATAGCATCCACTGCCACAGAAACGAATTTGGCCTCAAAGGAGCTGAAAGGTGTGTTTAAAGGCACTGTGATTAACTGGGGGGACATGAAAGCAAGAGGCTTTGTGTCACTTTGCTTGGACAGAAAAGGTTTGATCATACAAAATGCTGACCCTGCCCAACCCTTTTTGTCTTATGTCAATGAGAATTGGAAAAGCAAAGATGATACCAGGCCCTTTCACATAGCAGGGCTGGTCACCTGCCCTGAAGCCGGTTCAAATGCATGGTGAAGGGCTACCAACCTTGCTAACATTATCCAGTGGTTTGCCCAACAGGTCTGTCCTCTTCAGCTTGTTTATTTCCAGCATGTCTAGCTTGCTCACCACTGCATCAATCTTGGAGCCAATGCTGTTTATGGACTGTTCCAGCTGCAGCACACGTTGCAGGAGGCTGGGGGAGACATGGAGAGCATTTGCAAGCTTTTTCTTGTGATGAACAGTAGGATTTGCAGCAGACATCTCACAGACAATGGGCCAGACTTCAAAAAAGAATGAATGCTACACATCAGATACTTGATTCATACCCACTGAAGACATAACTCCCTGCTATACTGTGTTGTCACCTGTAATCAGTGGTTCTGCTCAGGATAGATCCCAACCAGTTTGAATCACAGGCCAGCCACAATATAATCTCATTGTTAAATATTGCACCTGCCTCTCTTTTGATATGGCCCTATGTGCATTGCTCAGTGTTTCTCAGTAGCAGAATCAGGGTCTCCTGATTCTCTGTGCTGTATTTTATCCCATGCTTCTCCTGTGGAAGAAACAGCCAAGTGTTATTCTCAGACCTGGAGGATGAAGGCCAACTAGGCTATGAGTCAAGGATATTTATTCCCACAGGACCTTCTGTAAAGGTATCAACTTCCCCTGGCCTAGTTATCCAGGCTACCTTCTGACCTGAAACATGACAGTGTATTGCCTGTGGCCAGCCAACAGCTGCAGAGGTAATTCAAGGGGCAGAAAGCAAAATTTCTTAACTCAATCTTTTATAGCAACAAGGAAACTACATTACAAGAACTGTCCCAGTCATCTCCTGACCTGCTCATTCACATGTGTGCAAGATAAAAAGAGACAAGGTCTTACTGAAACTGCTCAGCACCACTGTAAAGAGTTACATCAGGGAAGGAAGCAGCAGGGAATCACACCCCTCATTTGCAGAAGGATTAAACTACTGCCAGCACAAACATACACTTCGAACTCTTCTTCAGAGACCCAGCTGGCCTTATTGGCATGGTTATTCCTTGTTTCCATGTAGGTCAGATTCTCATCCAGGTTGTTGTCGCCATAGGATTTCCCCAAATTTTCAATTTCTGCATTCAAAGCAACCTAGAAGATAGATAAAGGAATTCCTGCAAAGCTGGATACCAACTCTGTGTCACCTTCACTGTGGATAACACAGAGTTTCACAGGCAGTGATATACTCAGCTGCTATCCAGGCAGAATTGGAGCGTATTTGAGTTGCCAGCTTAGTTTATACCACAAACCCAAAGATTTCTGAGGCCACTTTGGAGGGATCTCTGCCAAACAGAGGGTTACTTTCCTCGCCCCTTTTTTACCTTTTTTGCTTCTAGGTCATGCTTCATCTGCTGTTGCTCCCCTTCATCAAGGATGTGGTTGCCATCTTTGTCAAACCTGGAGAAGGCTGCTGTGATCTCATGGTCTGCATGGCCCAATCTGCAAAAGAATAGGAAGAGAAAGCTCAATGCACTGAATTACACTATTAAGCTCTAATAGTGCAGGAACACCCCTTCTGAAATCAGTGTCTTGTTTCCTCCTCTCAGTGACAAACCTGAACATCCCAAACGGGAAAGAGACAGTAACACAAACCTATTTAGAACAGGAGATTAAACATGTAAGGAAAGTTGATAACTTTTTTTTTTTTTTCAGTCTTACATTGCCCAGATCTGAGCTAACTGCTCTTCCGGCCTTGAAAACCAGAGAATTTAAATTACCTGTGTTACCAAGAGAAAGGACTAAGTGAGCATCCCTCAAGCTGACTCACTTACTCCTTCAAGCTGTTCTTGAAGTCTTCAAAGTCTAGTTCTTTTGTTCCATTCTTCAGTGCTTTCTGCACATCAGAAATCTGCTCTTTCTTCAGCTTCAGTCTCATGAGCGTCCGGTTGTAGCTCTGTTACCAAAGGTGCAAACAGACACAGAATTGTGCAGGTAGAACAGTGAAAAATAGGGCAGAACAGACAATGCAATAGAAGTGATCAGATGCTGAGTAACACAGGGAGATTTTAAGCTTTCCAGAAGCAAAAATACAACACTGCTGAATGAGCCTCATCTCTAAACTAGGATCACGCCTCCAAAGCAACACCAACATGATAGCTAGGGTCTCCATGACAAAGATTGCCCTCTGCTTTTCTCCTCCTGACTCTCCCTTTACCTTATCTCCCAGTCATCAGCTGTTTAAGATAATGTCTCAAATACTATTCTTTGCAGAATATTGGTCCCACAGCACAGAGAGTTGTGATCTTCCAGGACCTTTTCTGGAATTTGCTTATGGGAAATCCAGATGTAAACCACCAGATTTGCACCACTGTAACAGGCTCGGATTAGCAAAATAGGACCTGCTGTGTTATTGATCAAGCTACACTCTAGCGAGGACTGAAAGAGCTTTGTCTAGAGACTATCCTGGGAAGAAAAGTCTCTCAGAAACACTACCAGCATGCTCAAGTAACAGGATTCCTCCAAGCCCTGCTTTCTCATCTTCCCATTGCCAAAGGATCTGGGAGCTTGATTTATCCCAGAATGGAACTGTGACTCCTGTGTGCACCAAGACGGTGGATCTGGAGTTGGCAACCACTGTTTCTCTCTAATAAAGTCCATGTAGGTCAGGGACTTCCAGAAAACGCTTCAGGATTTAGCTAGAAATAGCACAGCTGTCACTATTCATCACCTGCTTCAAGATGTCTGAGAGCTGCAGCTCATCCTTCTGGTTTGAAAGCTCCTCCTTGACTTCTGAGTAGGTGTCATTGATGATGGCCAGAAACATGTTCTAGAAAAAGGGGAAGAAAAGCGATGAATAAACATGAGGCATCTTGCCTGCTTCAGCTGCTGAAGCAGCAAGAGACAGGCACAGATTTGCAGGGCTTAGTTAAACAAGGAGCTGTTTCCACATGGAATATCCTTTGGGTAAATTAACCTGGGTGAAGGGGAGGCCCACTTCAGTCACACAGTGCTTTCTCGCTGGGGAGGAGGTCCTTGCAGTTAAAGCAGTGTCTGGAGGTACATTTGTTCTCAGCTCAAATACCATCTTTAGTAGACTCTCCTGCAAGACCTTAGGTTGCATTTTGATTCCTGGCACTGTGTGTTTGACCTGGTCATTATGAGCATCTCTCTGCATCCATTGCCTAGGAAGCCAGAGACTGTCCCCCGTGCTTTGTTCAGTGCCTGCTACAGAGCAGCTGAACTGATCCCCTTGAATTTAGGTACCACATCATTGGTATTCCCAGTCAGTTTTAGTCTTCACCTTAAGGGATGTGAATATGGCCCTTAATCATACTAATCATCAAGTCCCCAACTGCTTTTTGTCTACTTTGATGTATGTGTAAAGCTATCGTAACAGAAACTTCCTTTCTTTCTAAGAATTTGCACTGGGCCTAACTCAGGGATTTTCAGAAGAGGTCTCTCAAACACTGCTGTCAATATGGGGACAAGGAAGGCTTTCTTGCTTACCAGGAGCACAAAGAAAACAAAGAACACATAGGTGATGAAGTAAATCGGCCCAAGGACCCTGTTGGCATTGTCAATGGAATTGTAGTCAAAGTCACCAAGAATGATCCGAAACTGGGTGAAGCTGGAAGAGAGCAAAAGCATAAGGTTACACAAAGGCACATACATTTATCCTACATTCTCAGTCTTGAGGTGAATCCTGAACCTGCCTGCAGCCCAGATGGTCATGGACACAAGCCAGAGCATGGTCTAAGTCACTCAGTCTGACTGCTGAGTTAAATGTACCCATAGTATTTCAGGGGGGAAGTGAGCTGATTGATTAGACTAAGAGCTGGCTGGAAAGTAAAACATGGTTTCCACATAAATTTCTGGTTGTCCAAAGTGTGTTTTGGTCTAAACAGGAGTTAAAACCAAAAACAGTACAAACACAACCTGAATTTTCCCTTATAAAGGCATTTGACCCACTGAATCCTTCTCTTGCAAGAGAGTTCATGACACTGTGGAGAGGATGTTAGTACTGGATTGTGCTCTTCACCCTTTTGCAATTCATAGCCCCTATAACGAAGGAAATTTAAGTCAATTGATTAAAAGTTTGTGTATCTCAGTTATCTCTTGTAGACCCCTTAAAGGCAGGACCCAGATGCCAGAGGTCTGTGGGACACAGGCTGAATCATAGAATCATACAACAGTTTCGGTTGGAAGAGACCTTCAAGATCATCGAGTCCAACCTTTGTCCTAGCTCTTTAAACACCACTAAACCATGTTGCTAAGTACAACATCTACCCATCTCTTAAACACCTCCAGGGATGGTGACTCCCCCACCTCCCTGGGCAGGCTGTTCCAATGCCTGACAACCATTTCAGTAAAGAAATTCTTCCTAATATCCAGCCTGAACCTCCCCTGGTGCAGCTTAAGGTCACTTCTGAAAATCCTGCCTGAGAAATGCAAAGTTCCATTCCAGATTCCTTGCATTTGGAGTCTTTAGGGAGCAGGGAATGTTTTCCAGGTCTAAGGAAAAGGAACATGGCATTGCGTCCTCTTCTTTGGATTAAATTGTCCCAATTCAGTGATGTTGAAATGTCTCCTTCCAGTAAGAAATTGTTTTCATCTCTTGCTTTGAAAATGTCTACTTAATCTTATTTAGACTATTATACAGCATATTTTAGAAAACTCCATGCTGAATTTGTATTAAAATTAGCGTATTATAAGACTACCAACTTTCAGAAATGAAGTAGAGTTGCTATCTTATCAAAATCAGATATATTTGCAAATAATATAAAAATGAAGTTCCTGACTTTTTCATTTCAGTGTTTAAAGCTGTCATCTTGATAAGATAAATGTATTACTTCTGCTTTTCCTTATGAAAACTCTGTAGCAACAAACAGTATTCCTTCCAAATTTTTCTTTCAATTGAAGTGCACTGTCTGATAAAAAACAGAAAAGTTTTCACACAGCTGTTGTGCAGACACCAGAATGATGTGATCAGCAAGTGTGTTTGGAAGCCAGAGAATTTCAAAACTCTGGAGCTTCTATCTGGGCCTCTTCCATATTAAAAAAATTTAAAAAAAAAAAAAAATCACTCTGAGCCTACCTCAAAACATTGTTTTGAGCTATTTAGTTCTTACCACCAGAATTACAGAGAAGTTTAACCTAACTAGGCCTAAAGACATCTGCTGGCATATGAAACCACAAACTTCCCAAGGTCTCAGTGACAGTCAGACAGTGTAATTCTACCACCTTTATGGATCCACAGCAGGTGAGAAGGTGACAGAAGGTCCTGCAGAACAGAAACTAAATTATCAGCTGAGATATGATGCTTTTCTGCAGAAAGACATTAAACCACTCTGCAAGTTGAGTACCCTTGGTGTGCCTAAGAGCTCCGCATCAAGGGAAGCTGTCTAGGCTTCAGTAAACTGAAACACCTCACTAAACACTCTCATGGAAAGGCTGGGATTTCTGTTGAATTGTAGGGCTGCAAGGAGTCTTGAAGTCTGGTAGGATCAGCTACTCTCATCTCTACTGATAAACACCAGACAACCAGAAGTCTGTCTGTAACCCTCAATTTTCTCACTGTATTCTTTTGTCCATGAAGATGTCACAGCTGGAGGACTGTGAGTGACTTATTAACCATTGTGGCTTTATTACAACAGCTGTCTGATATCCAGATTTGCTGTTGGGGAGAGGTCGGAAAGCAGTTAAAATCCTTCTGATGAAATGATGGAAACATGGTTCTGACTTACACACTTACATGCATTTAACAAAGGTACTAAAGTTTTCCACTTGCGTCCCAAAAAGAAGGTAACCCAGCTGGGCATAGGCAAAGAAGACAATGAAGAACATAATGGCAAAGCCCAGGATGTCCTTGGCACAGCGTGCCAGTGTGGAGGAGAGCTGGGTCATTGTTTTGTTAAAGCTAATATACTTGAATATCTGCAAGAGGAAAGAACATGGACAAAGTTAGGCCAAACCATCAGCTAGGACAGTCTCTTTCATATATGCACATGCTCACTAAGACAAGAGGTTCACTGTAGTACCAAAGCACAGAGAAGACAGCCAGGCTAGGGAAATGGTGGCTTAGTGTTCAGGATATTTGTCCCAGGTGTGTCATCATCCTCCTGTGCAATCATGAACATATGATTGTGTTCCCTGTGTCAAAGGGGAATGTAAAGAGGGACTGCTGTAAGGACAGATATCTTGAGGCCAATGAGGAGCTCCAAGTACTAGTGTGGCTTTTCACCATGCCAAGATGATTTTGTTGAAGTGCAAAGTCCATGCTAGCAGATGAGTAATTTCTAGTTGTTGGAGGATAATCTGGCAACCAACAACTAGAAAATGCTAAAACAGTACAGGATGGACAAAGTTACACTGTACTCAGCATTTTCTAAACCCACTTTTACACCACAATGTCTGAGCTCATCTCCCTCCCTGCCATCTCCAAATAACTAGCCTCAGAATGCAGGGTGAAAAGTTGTCTGGATTTGCTACAAAACAGAGCATATGACTGAGGAAAGTCCTCTGTTATATAGCTGTTACTCTCATTCACTCAGAGGGATGTAAGAGTCAACCCCCAAGCTATCTAGAGGAAGAGGTCTGAGACTTGAGGCCTAGCACCTCCCAGACCCCATATGATACCTTGATCCAGGCAAAGAACAAGTTGACTGCATTCATATTGTTGTACTGTGTCTGCCAGAATGCCAGGAACTCGAAGTCTGCATAGGTGTCTGGATGTTTCAGCAACTCTCCCAACAGTCTGTTCACCTCAGTGGTGCGAAAGATGTGAAACCCAATAGCGACGATGGAAAGCTGCAAGGAGGAAGAGTCTGCAGTGACTGCTGTACCTATGCTTTCCACAGGAATTAAAGTGTCACAGAATTACTTGGAATCACACTTCACAATTGCAGTCTACTGGTGGAGGATGGAAATAAGGTCTTAATGCGCTGAATGATGCCTTGACTTCACAGGCATCTGTAAGGAATTTTCTCTTAAGAGCGGATAGAAGAGCATGTGTCCATTTGCTCTGCTAGTTCATTTTGCTATAAGAGCAAAACATATTTCAGCTCTTGTCTTATCTAGACCAGTTTCCCCATTCCTTCATTTATTTTGGCTCTTATACCTCTCTGCCATTGCTTCCAAAAAAAAAAAAAGTGTGAAAGGATCCTCACCAGAATGACAACCACATCCAGGATGTTCCAGATGCTGGTGAAGTACTGAAGCTTGTGGATACGCAGCTCCAAAATCTCCTCCACCACATAGTAGAAAATGAAGACACAGAAGACAATTTCACAGGCAACAATGAAGAAGTCCCATGCACTGACATATCGTATAAGCTTGACTGTCCGGATTTGCGAGGAGGGAATGGCACCACCAGTGGCTGGAAACTCAACCACTAACCTTGAAGGGGACAAGAAAACTCTGGTAGTACAAACAGGGGGATGAAGGTTCTTAGATGATGTTGAGAGGCATCAAACCTGAGCATGAGCAATCCACCAAACCATGAGTGGAAGCGTTGTGCATGTGTTCACTCAGCCTTATCTCTGCTGCTTCACTGCCCATGATAGGAAAGGGTGAAAGTGAAGAGAAGTATGACTAGCTATGTCAGGAAGACCAAGTCTTCTAACTAATCCATACAATATCCACTGACACCACTCGGTCCTACCCTGCTGGTGGATCATATTAAAATATTTGCATTTTAAGAATCTGTGGCCCTGAGGAAGAAGAAAGAGGCAGAAGAATTTTCAGTGGGACTCAGCTTACCTCAGAACACAGAACAGATTGATATTTGCATTATACACAGAGAAATCAATGAAAACAACTCGTGTCCCCCGATCTAGCCACAATTTCTCTTTCAAAACTTGCAGGTCTTCAGCACTCTCTTCTCTAGTCAACTTGAGGTCTATGTAGTATCCTCCCCCACTGTAACTGTTTAGTCTTCCCCAGTGAGATGAGCCACCCAGCTCCTCCTCAGAATGGTACCTCCACCTGCAACAGACAAGCCATAAGCAAAGTTATCACCACCCGAGGCCTGGATATGACCTTGTAGCCAGGAGAAATTAGACTATATCTTCAAGAGACAGAGCAGTTTTTAAATAAAAAGTTGGCATTTAATTACTGTTCTGGATCTAAGCCTACATCAGTTCTTCATTATTTTTGGATTTCTGATCAAGTGATTCCCAGTAGTGACACAACATGAATTGCAATACTACAGAGGGAAAATTCTACAGGTTCGTTGGCTATGCCACAGTGCTGTTTGCATGGAGGTTACTCCTAGGATCTGCTGTGTCACCTTCTACCATGTTGAACGCAATCCTCTGCTTAGAACACACTTGCACTCATATTTCCTTACGAACAATAGCTTCTCATTCACAGACCAAGACTCATGTAGTGAGCAAAGTTATTAGACTGCAGCTACCTCACATTATTATAGGGAAACAGGTTTTCAAGATGAGAGAGATGCACTCCCTTCTCTCTGGCTCCTGAAATCCAGGAGGGAAGCAGATAGCATCTATTCAATAGACCTGGTCCCGAAGGTCTCTATTTATCCTCACCCTCTTAGAAACAGGCACCAATTTCTACTTCATTCTGCACTGGATTTTTCATGGCTTTCCCAATAGGTCCCACTCTGCCATTCTGTTGTGCTTTTCCTCAAAAAGACACTTGGCCTTATTGATAGACAAAAAGGACTTGCCGCCTCTGACTGCAAGGGGAATTCCAGTCTTATGTGAGAAACTCACCTCTGGCATCCTGCAGCTCAGCAGATCTTATTTTAACTAGAAGAGACTGATCTGAATTTTCTTATTCTAAACAGCAGAGGATGTACTTACGCGGTTCCATTGATGAGCCCAAAGGAAACCTTTTCCTCCTTGTCTTCTGAATATACATCATAGCACCCTGAGATTTCCTCCTTGAAGTCATCATGGACCACACAGGAATTGTTCTTCACCTTCAGTTGTCGCATGCGGGGGACACCCAGCAGCAGGTTCTCATAATAGATGCATGACTGGGTGCTGCGCGTGACTAGGGACTTGTTGTTGTACCACTTTGTCCAGTAAAGATTATCCAGAAGGGGGCCTTGTGCATACTGCAAAAGAGGGAGAAGAGAACAACAACTTCATAGTCCGGGCTTGAGATAGTAGGACCTGACCAACCCCACTCTAGTTCCCAGGATGGAAAGTAGAAGCTTGTGCTGGGAGAAGAAATAGGGCTGGTGGTAGAAGAGGGATGCTGGGCAACAGGGTCATTGCTGGCTCCTTACAGGCCTGTAATATGGTTGCTGCACCTTGTTGGGCTAATGAAGAGACAAGAGCCCCAGCAGGACTCTTTGTCCCTTCTGCTTCAGTGAGCGCAAGTCCCAAGGAATTGCCTTGACACAAGGTTTGAATTATGAAAAGGGCATGTGCCAGTGCCCTAGAAACAGTGGGGGAAAAACAATAGTGTCATAGTTCCCTGTACTTTTTTTAACACGACAGAAAAAGACAAAGCTAACTGACAAAAATTCTGGCTGACTGTCAGAGATAAGTGGTTGCAATATCTCAACAGCATTCACTGTGGCTCATATTATTCCTTCACCAGTTCTTTGATAGAAATGTGTTAGACCCGAGACATCTTTTCTCCTCTCTATTATCTTTGATAAAAGTCAGTGCAAATTTTAATCCAGCTTCCTCAGAAAGAATCTGTAGATGAGAGCAGCCCAAACATGAATTACAGGCAGGTTAACTATGCAGTTCCCACAATTGCCCACGAAAACAGACATAGGCCTGTTACTAAGACAACAGCATGAAGACATTGCACTGTAGGATTCAAAGCCATTTCTACCACAAGGAAACTTGGAGTGAATCACCTGGCCTCTCCAGGCTGGTTGTCCCTATCTGTGCAATGAGCATCATATCACAGCAATTTCTTTTTGTTATGTCCTGCCTCTTTAGCTGGTACATTATGGGGGAGTGAACACTCCTGGGAACACACAACACAGCCTAGCCAGTATTCTGGCCACAGTGCTCAGAGGTATAAATCGTATTTTAAATCGGTGGATATTTTGCATACAAATGATATTGATTGTAACTGTTGCTTGTAGCAGCAAAATGCCTTGATGAAATCACTAGGTAGCCCATTCAGAGGCAACTGAATATCCCAGTCTAGATAAGATTTCCAGGGCCCCATGCCAGGCTAGTTTTATACTCACCACCCAGAAGTCGGCCATGCTGCCAATGGACTGGAAGGACACACGGCTGTCTGAAGAGGTCTGCAGGAAGAGCTCAGACATCACTTTGGTGTAGTAATAGGCATTGGAACTTGTCATTCCATATGTCACTAAGAGAAGAGACAAGAGGAGGGTCCTCCCTTATACTTGAATATTGGAGCCTGACATAAATATGTTTATACATTCACTTTCTATATAGCTTACATTATCACAAGTAAAGCAAGCAAGGCACAAGAGAAAAATTCTTGGGAACTCTAATCATATTACTTTCTGCTTTTTTAGGGATTTACAAACTTATCTGTTGGATGTTTCAGAATTTAAAGTGTCAGACTGACGGACTATAAGAGTTTAGAAGCCAGAGAAGACCATTGGATGGTGCAACTGAACATCCTGGGTAACAATTTTTGTCCTCAGACAAAATTGCTGAGGGAAATTTTCTTTCTCAGAACAAAGTCCAGATCTGTATTTTGAAGTTCTGGTGTGAAGCCATGAAAGTATAGAGACCACCCCATTTTCCCAAGTGGAAAGCTCCAGGTAAGTTCTCGTCTAGCAAGAAACCTCAAACAGGAGCAGGCTCTAGCTTCCATGAACATGTTGTTTCAACTCTCCGGTGCTCCTTCCTGCAGAAAAACATCCATCATGGTGATCACTAAGAACATGTCCTACTCTTGAAAGGGTACCATGAAAATAAAGCAGCTGCTATTCAAGACCTCTCCCACCCCCCACCTCTGAATGAGTCAGTGAGTGACCATACATACGTGTGTGTGCTTGTCTTGGTTCTTTAGGAAGAGTGACTGAAGCACTGTCTCCCTGGGCCAGTGTGATAGCAACTCAGGTTGATATTGTCTGTCTATCTCTGCTGACATAGAATCCATGAAATATAATCCCCTTCACTGTCTTATGCCAAGGTGCTCATTTGTGATAATGACTGAACCTTCCCAAGAAACAAACAGCCATTGTTCTACCCACACAAAGTCCATTAGCATTCAGTACAGCGACGCATTAAATCCACCCAAGAATAACAGTGTGAGCTGCCATCTGCTTTATCACTTCAGCCAGCCCTCCAGTTTCAAAGCAGAAAATCTCCCTGAACCCTGTGTCTTTGATCTCAGGAAGTTTCTAGAGTTGCTCTCTGGGTCTTGAACATTTGCTGTGGAACTAAGAAAAGACCCTGGGCAGATTCTCTCGGGACTGTGTAGTCAATGGCTAGAACCGATAATGTGGATCGGAAAATACTGTTTAAACCTAACCAATATCAGTAAGGTCTAGAGCAATAATCAGTTATTTTACTTCTGTGTGCAGCAGCTATTCTGTAGGTTAATGACACACCTGATTGCTGTAGTGAGTGCATGTACAATAAATTTAACACCTACAACAGAGAGAGGAAATTTAATAATAAAACCTCACATTATTCTCCTCATGCTGCACAGAGAAAAGACACTTATGAGCTATGACAGCTACTTACATAGACAGATGTCCACCAAGAACACAATATAAACTAGCAGCTCTCGCAGTGTGGTCTTCACATAAAGTTCCCTGTTTTCAGCTGTGTTCTCAGTCAGCGTAGTGCCCCACAGACCTGTTGGGTATAAAGAAAAAATTGGAGAGTTTTAATAGCCGTTCTCAAAGGCCCTGTGAGGAGCTGAAGTCCTGTTCCCAAAGAACATCATCGGGAGGTAGGCCACTTGTCACTTTTCAATGCAAAACCACTTTTCGTTTCTCTTGACTAAGAGATGTAAAAATGTGTTAAATTACTCCTAAAAAGAACCATTCCAGCATGAACAAAAATATTTGGGTCTGATCAAAACTGAAATATATCAGTTTTCTTACTTCGCTAAATCACTCTCCAGTTTTCTGTCTGAGTTCATTATAAACTAATCTTTTCCTGCCTGTTTTTCAGCTTACTCTTTGCAGAAATTCAGTCTTGCCACCAGTAGTCTTGAAACCACAAAATTTCATCTCAGTCATCCATGGGCCAACAGCTGACCTTCTGATAGGACTTCCATAGCAAACTGCATCTGATGTTGGCTTTACATTTCTTAGTCCTTTTAGTGTACATTCAACCATCAGGCCCCAAATATTTGTCCCTTGCTCACCTAAAAACTCTTACAGATTTCTTGTAGGTCATAAGACTCAGTCAAATCACCCAACTCAATATTTTCAGCATAAAGTTTAGAGCCACATTATCTTCAGGATATCTATCAACGGAGCTCTGCTGACTTCAGTACAGTTACGCCAATTGCACCAGCTAGTGATCCAATTTCCTCTCATTAAATATCACCAGGGTTGATCAAAAAGAGAGAAACACTTCCTTTAAAGGGAGTCTTGATATTTTGGGTTTGATGAACCGCCTGAAACCATTAATATATTTGTTTGTTCTTTTTGTAATGGCTTTCTGTTGTGATTTCTGAAATAAACCTGAAGTTGAAAGGCATAAGAACTTCCACTTGAAAGCTTAGTGTTGAAAGCCATGTCAATAATACCCATAGTCTTGCTGCTTTGTGCATCTCCTATAGAGCTCAGCCCTGATGCTCATCACCAGTAGTATGCAACAATCACCCTCCTGCAAGCCAGGATCAAAGCTGATCAAAGGGTACACGTTTGAAGTCATCTTTGGCAGAAGACGAAGCACTTTTTTCTTTGGAGCAAGCAAAGGCGATATAGTGGTCTGTGTGCATTTACTCCTGTCCTTTCAACAGCTCTTTGGCATCTCAACAGATTAGAGAGCTTTTTGCACCATCAGCTACCACAGCAACTGTTGCAGCATCCACCCTTGCTCCTGGACAGACAAACCAGTAGCCTGTTTTGGACACGCCAGACCGGCAACAGAAATGAAAGCCTGGAAAAGATCTGGATTAACTCATGTGCAGGAGAGAGTATCATGTGGTCTATAGGAATCTCCACAACAGAGAAACAACCCCACTTATTTGTTCAAGTAACTTTTAAATGACCCGCTTCATCACTAGATAGGACTACATCACAATCTTTTAAAGGGTTTATTTGTTTTTTCATGAGGCAGGGAACCCCTACTATCCATGTGTTGGGAACAGAGGCATAGACTTTCTTTGCTTAGGGAGTAGAAGCGTACTCAGGAACACCTAAAATCAGGGACACTGAAATATCCTTGAAAACTTGGCTCAGAGACTTGCCCAAAATTATACCTGAAGGACCATGAGGCTTGTCCACTACCCTTTCAGATTATAATTGTAAAACTATATCAGTTGAGGTTTGGTTTCAGCCATTTCTTTAGGAAACATGCCATGGAAATATACCATCTCATACATGAAGCACGTCCCCATCTGTGTCTCCTTTGGCACCACCTACCCCCGTGGGGCTGCAACTGTTTTGGACATGACATTTGCAATAGAAAGATACTCAAGACTAGAAGACATCCAGGCTTCCTTGTGGCATCTTGCGTGACTATCTAGTACTCATAGGGCAGAGCAAAGAAAAAAACCCCAGAATCTAGAAAAGAGGCAATCAATGCAATTTGTTTGTAATTCTTGCCTTCCTGCTAGTCATAAGTTACTGGTAAGATTATTGACAACATCTACATTATCTTCCAAGGCTGCTTTTAAACCAGACTTGTGACCCAGGTGAGTAATAGCTCATGGTCTTGGGTACAGCTGGATCCTCTTCCAAACACAGTGGGAAGCTGGGTGTCCCTCGTTGGCCCCTGTGCCACCCAGATACCCAGCAAAGTCTGTCCGTAGGCTGTCCATGAAATAGCTGAAGTGGCAGGAGGCAGGCGGGAAGCAGGGGACACAGAATTGCTTGGACACAGTTTAGAGGGGAGCAGTGGCACTAGGAGCAGCAGCTACTCACTAGTAGACCAGCCTGGTAGCTGGTGAGGACAAGAAAAGAACTCAATAAACCAACTATGACCAGTACAGACATATAATTCCAAGGAATGTTTTTTTAAGCAAAAAAACCCACAAACTGTCCTTGGCTAAGCGACTTACCTTTACTACTTCTGTTTTCCATGTGAGGTGCTAAATGGATTAAATGGAAGGGGAGGAGAACCAGCAATATTTGGAGAGACAATGAAAAATAATGAGCACTTAGTAAAGATGCAAAGGAAGGATGCAAATTCTTCAAGGAAAAAGTCCCCACCTCAGTGAGCCTTTCTTCTGGCTGCACTGGCCTTTGGATCTCATCTTCCCACCTCTGGTCTCTCATACAACCCTGTTTACCACCCTTGCTGGCAGGACATGCAACAGTCATAGGAGAAGAAAATCCTATAGTTTCCTGACAGGTATTTTAATTTGCGTGCTCCAGTTTCAACCCTGGCATCTCACAAATGGAATTTTGATGAAAGTATGGATTTGTTTTTCCTTTTTAAGTCTCAAACAATGCCTAGAAGAAAGGATATCAGAATAAAACAAGTAAACGATACACTACCTCTGAGCAACCTGTAATTACCCACCAAGCCCACCCAGCACTGCTCCTTGGCCAAGAGAAACCTCTAAAGCTTCAGCTGCAACTTCTATATGAATTAGTAGTTTTAGATTGTAACTGCAACGACAAGTAAGAAAGAATTGATCATAGAGGGGCTGTGTAATTCAGGACCGGGCTATGCTCTTATTCACTGGTATGTACTGTTAGAAGGTACAGCTCTGAGAATGGTTCTTGCCTTCCAAGTCAGGAAGAAAAGACACATTGGCAAGAAAACAGTTTCTTGTGTTGGTTTCCCTGTTTTTACACTATTAGGACTTCATACCTTCTGTAAGAAACTGTTCAACAAATGCTCTTGCCCAGCTCTGTATTCTTACAGGAGATCTAACCTGCTCCCAGGGTTTTGGTTGCCTCTGAATAAGCCTACATAATATTTCATTCCCCTTTGTCTTTTAAACTGGGAACTAGCACCTCTTTCTTTCAACTGTCTTCATGCAAAGCCTTATTTGATACATTCCTGTTACCCTCTGCATTTCAGTCCTGACAGTGCTAGATTTTCTCTGGTGGATATTTATATCAGTTCTTAAGTTACTGTAACACAGGGGCCAGTACCACTCCAGCTAGAAAATGCACACAAAGACAGAATGGTCTCACAACTAGTGATGGCTCCTGTGGATCCAGGACACCTAAGCTCTGTCCAAAGCTCTGCCAACGGATTCACTGCATGACCCTGAGCACACCACTAAATCTGTCTGTACTTCCTGCCTTGTAGTAAAGGTAACAGAACAGACCCTGGAGCTACAGCAAGTCACACAGAACAAGGATGCTCTTTCCAGGTCAGCCAAAGATTATCTCCAGAATAATGCTGGTATATGTTGAGCAGGATCCTGGGCTACACAGACACTATGAATTTTCTACATTCTGCATCCCCACACTCGCCCCCGCGCTCCCCACCATTGCTTTTCCTGAGGACTAGTAAAACCTTTCTAGTGACATGTCAGAGCTTTACCTCGGATGCCTCTGAAGATGTAGAAGCAGCACTTGAGGAAAGGACTTGTCTTCCCATCCACAGCTTTGCTCTGCTCTTCCTGGTAACGCAATGAATCCCTCACCTCTTCAAAGTTCTCATAGGGATTCTCCAGGATGGATTTGGGGTTGTAGATGGCTCGAATCTTCAAGGAGGAAGAGGGAGAGCCATTGTAAACAGGGTTGTCCCAAGCTTTCTTCCCCACTGCCTGCAGTTCATGCTCCTCTGAGGCTCTAAAGTGGCTCTCAGCATTGTAGCTTAGGTGGGATGAGCTCATGGCTAGTCACTGACAGCAGAAGTACCTTGTAACTGGAATTGTGAATATTGCCTGCCCAGGCTGTAGTTACAAGCAGGCAGAGAGAGAAACAATTCCAGTTTGTCTGCTTCAGCAACCAGGAGAGGGCACACCAACAGCCCCCCCACAGGCAGCACACACCCTCTCTCGCTTTTAAACCAGCTCAGCTGGTGACACCTACTAGAGGGGTGGCACTACCCGTTTTTAGGAACCACCGTCAGCCCTATTATCCCAGCAGTCCTGGGAACACCGACACGTCCGGGAGACCTTCTCTGCTTCCCAACAGAGCTAACAGACCTAGATGCCGTCGTGGGAAGCGGAGGCTGCTAGGAGACAGTCCCTGGGTTGGGGGCGGCGGGGAGGAAGGGGAGGAGGCGGCTGGGATTTAACCGGACCCCTCAGGCTGCCTGCAGCCTCGATCAGGTCTAGGTGAAGCCCCGGCGGGGCGCAGAGAGGGCTGGGAGCTGGGGTAGGACACTCTGCAAACACCTCTGGGGAGAGGGACCGGGCGGGGAGCCTTTGCTCGGGGTGTCGGGGAAGTCCTGAATTTTTAGTGCAGCTCGAAAGAGCAGAAGCGCTCGGTGAGCGGCGGCAGCGGGTGGCTGCTGCGCTGGGCTCGGAGGCGTTGCAACTTGTGAGCCAAGCGCCGCGGGCGCTTCAGGAAGAAGCTGCTGATGCCGGTCAGCGTTCCCACAGCATCCTCTTTGCTATCTCATTGTTAAAAGCAGGAGTGAAAACTGGGAGGAAAGTTCTAGTGGTTCATTCGGAACCAGGGGCTGGACTCCTGCTTTTGCAGAATTTCCATAAGCCCTGCAGTGCCTGCTGGCCCTGAGGCAAGCCTGAGGAAAAAAAAAAAAAAAAAAAAAGGATTATACCAGGCAGAACTAGAAATAATAAGTTAGGGGTTGCCAGCATTCACCCACTGACCAGCAGTGAGAAGTAGACCCAGGCCGTGCAGGTGCTGGAGGCCTGTACCTGTACCCCTGGAGGGAAGGCTCAGGTGATGGCTTAACCCTGGGATGTTGGGCTTCTATCTTGGTGATGAGATGACAAATGAATGTATAACCTGAGTCTGAGCCTTCCTCAGGTCTGAATACCTAATTTGGAAGAGGTGCTTCTCCATGGGTACTGATGGTAGCTACTTTTCTGATATTACCCAAGGAAGCAACATTTCTCTTACACCTGTAGGACCACAGGGTTCAAAGGTACAAGCATGGCTGTTTTCTCTGGACTGCCATGTTCATGCAGGTGACATTGCCAGGCCAGCTGGGATGTGCAGAGATGTCCCCTAGATGTCACCTACCTAATAATGGCACTGAGCAGCTGCTTGAACAACAGTGACGTTCAAGACCTAATTCGTCACAGGGCACTAGGAGGGCAGCAGCTCGTTGGAAGGTCACTGGAGGTCTGGGCTGGACCCTTGAACTGAATTTGGTATTATTAGGACCTGTTGTGTTTTATTACTCCCAAGCAAAATGAGAGCAGTGGAATGGAGTCAATGGGGTAAATGGATGGAAAACTTTTGCAGAGCTCTCCAGCAGCTGGAACACTGAGGGATGAGACCTCAGTGTGAGGCCACATGCCAGGGCCAGACATCCCACTGCACCCCTGGGACCATACAGCAGATCCATGCCCATGCACAGGCAGCATGGCTTACGGTGCAGAGCTGCTGCTTGGGGGGGGCATGTGGGTTTATTCACAGTGCATCTCTTGCTGCCTGTGGCACAGCACCACTTCACATCACATCATATCATGCAGGGCCCAGGTACAATGCAGATCTGCCTTCTCGCTGGCTAGGGCATGGAGCAGGTTGTGAGAGGGGGGACCTTGACCTTCTGTGTTGAAAGACTGAGTCACCCACCAAGCCCAGAAGGCAGGTCATGTCTGTGTCACCTGAACTTGAACAGCCTAAGGCAGGGCAGAATAAAGAGCACCTTGTAATTAAGGAAACACACGCAGCGCTTTGCAGGCAGGCTGGAACGGTTCATTCATTTGTGCAGGTCTGTAAAGGTCTTTTTCAGTCGGTAAACTTGAACTGTACTGATAGTGCATGCTTCAGTTTTGGAAGGAAATCTAGGTGGGGCTTCAGTTGTCTAGCTGGCTTGCAAAATGATACAAGCACTTCCTTGCTAGGAGGCAGGACATGCGTTTGCATAGGAAGCTGCCTCGTTTTGCACTAGATGGCGCAGTGAGATGTATCAGCTGAGGGAGAACATGACCCAAACCTTAGGACCTCATAAATCACCATGCTATGTGTTGCCCTCTGTGGTGTTTGATGTAAAACCCTGTAGAGCACCAGCATTTGCTGGCTAAGGAGTGACACATGTCTGATAGCACCTTTCAGCACTTACCCCACGTCTTTATTCCTTCCAGTGGCTTAGGCCTTATTCACCAACCTTTCATTCTTGCGAAAATCAGCCAACAGAATTTCTCTTCTCCATTCTTCCCCTCTTTTTGCCCCCGCATTTGTTGATGGCCTTTTTTCAGCAGACCTAGAAGACACCTTTCAGCAGTACCCAGCAAGGACCATTTCTAAAACCACAAACCACTATCACAGTAGGATTCATCATGCTAGGATAAGACAAAGGAGCACAGCTCCAGAAGTTTTCCTGTTAATAAATTCCTTAAAACATGATGTGGGTCAGAGTTCCTGGACTGACCACTCATTCATTGCACAGAGAGGTTCCCCAAGCAGGAGGGCTGTCAGCAGAACTACTCACACCCAGCTACAGGCAAACAAACAAACAAACAAAAATCATAGCATTCACTGCATTTACGGCAGAGGAACTCCAGGTTTGCTGCACCTATTTTCACTGGCTTGTTTCTAAGAGTCAGTTCTGATACTCCAAGGAGAGCCTGGAAATTTGTCCTGGGGCAGAGGCAAGGACCGGGAAGAAACACAGTGAGTGTTCTGAGATATAAAAAGCCACTGTGAAGAAGACATAATTTGTTCATTGTGACTGCAGGGATGGAGATTTATTTTAGGCATGGAGGGAAGCCATTGAGCAGGTGAGAGGAAGAAAGCTGTAGAAGAGTTCACCTAGGGAGGGGATACATTCCCTGCTGTTGGAGAATGTTGTATGAACAGGTTAAGTGAAGCTGTCTTAAGAGATGATGAGAGAGGGGGGAGGTAGGCTAGATGACCTCTAAAGGCCCTTTCCATCACAGAAGTATGTGATGCTAGGATTAGGCCTCCAATCCCTGTCAGCCGGCCAGCAGCTTCATTAGATAACCTGTGAGCTATGCATCCCGAGCATCTCAAGTCTTGCAGTAGGCTACAAGCAGCTGACAGCTGGCTTGCATTCACCTATGAATGAAACAGTAATTCCACGCTGGAGGGAATAATGGCTTTTTTAAAATAATGAAAATATTTCACCTATTGGAAATCATGTGAGAAGAGGAGAAAGGGAGAAGAGTTACATTTTTAAAATCCAACAAATAATCGTGGTATATTGTTTGCATAATGTCGTCAGTGCTCTGCCTTCATTTAAATTGTGGATTCAAATGGCTAATTGAAACAAAATGCTTAACATAAAAAAAAATAAAAATCAAGTTATCTTGAGGTACACACACACAAACACCCTGTGTTGGGTTTGTGTCTGGTGGGGTTTTGGTGGCAGGGGAGGGGGCTACAGAGGTGGCTCCTGTAAGAGGCTTTGAGAAGCTCCCCCGGCTCCAATTTGGACCCACCTCTGGCCAAGGTAAGACCAATAGCACCCCTGCAAATAACTCTATTTAAGGGTGGAAAAACTTCTTGAGGAGTTCTTTGTTCGTCTGTCTGTGTTTGTGA